TAAAGTGGAAGCCGTGCAGGACCTGCTTCCTTTGAACTAAAACAATGACCGATCGATTGAGATGGTTCTCTCTGAATCATTCTCCATTGTAAATAGACTTAAGCTCCAAGTGAAGCTTGATAATGGTTGGGAGACTGAATGCACAGTGTGTTAGGCACAATAGCTGTTCGCTGGCACATTGGAACAGCTTAGCAATGATGTAGTTGACAAATCTGTGGACTTGAAGCAAATTTGTCCCTCAGAAGTGTGAAGTGGGACTGGACACAGACTTAATAAGAAGCATGTTTTTTCTAGGATGAAAGAAGTACGATTGAACTGATTCCTTTCAGACTTAATGAGTGACTTAATCAAAGCAAGAGATTTTTGAGACTTTGGATGTAAAGATCATAATGTAAAATACTTCATTTCATGAATACTAGAAAAACGGGTTTATGTACTGTATCTCATAGTGAATTTCTCTTTAGGTCATATGAATGAGAGTATATGGAAGGGATTGACTCTCAACAGCAAGTGCTTTGAACAGACATGGAGATGTAGGATGAGATACAGCAAGAGGAATCACCAAATACGTGACACTTAATTGTAACATATGAAGTAATAATTCATTCTAAGGGTTTTTTCCCCTCTTTAAAGGGGTTTGATCAATGGGGACTGTTTTCTTTGATGCCATTTTGTCTAACTGCTCCTGCACAAATGACCCTTAGAGGGAAATTCTGCTGTTTTTTTTTCAAAAATTCTGCATAATTCTGTAGTTGAGATGTAAACGAAGTCATTCAGAGTGGTTTCATGTAAAGTGGTTAATTTTGAAGAAACTTACTTAGAAAGTGTGGTGTTTCTTTACAGTAGTGGTGATGGAACCAGGGGTATCGATATCTACAATTCAAATATAACCGTTTTATTTATTATCCAAAATGACCCGTGAACCTGTGGGTCTTCTGAGTTTCTATATGTATTTTTGATAATGGTAAAATAGTCGTAAATCTTAAAAGATTTTCTTGAGGATTATTTTGCCTTGCATGTGCCTCACTGCCATGAACTGAGCTTTAAGAATATGTATGAAGCCAAAATTTCAAAACGATATCTCAGAAATCGGGATATCGATATCTCAGATAACCATTTCATGTAATAACTTTTTATGAAGGAGCTTTTAGAGCAGGGGTGCATAACTCCAGTCCTAGATGGCCAGTGTCCAGCACACTTTGGTGATTTACCTACTAAGACACACCAGATTGCATTTATCTGTTAATTGGCGGGTTAAGTGGGTGTGTTTGAGTAGAGAAACCTCCAAACTGTGCTGGACACTGGCCCTCCAGGACCGGAGTTGTGCACCCCTGTTTTAGAGGCTCTCTTTAGATCAGTGGTCTCTAATCCTGGTCCTGGAGAGCGTCCTTCCTGCAGAGCTTGGTTCCAACCTTACTTAACTCTAATACATCCCATCCATCAGTCAGGCACTTGGAAAAAGGTTGATTAGCTGGAGCAGGTGTGTCAAATTTTGGTTAGCACTAGTCTCTGCAGGAAAGTAGCTCACCAGGACCAGGGTTGCAGACCACTGCTGTAGATGTCTGGTTCCCACCACCACCACTTTGAAAAATTCTTACTCTAAGTTTCTCAAACATCTTTTCTGTTTATTTATGTATAGATTTGTTAACAAATGGTGGAATTCCCCTTTAAGGATGATTTGTGGTAAAACAAGTGAATTGCCGTTGTCCAAATTGAGTTGTGAGGTCAGAGTATGGAAACCGAGTGGATCTTTATGCTTGATAATGTGTGTATAGCTCAGTTTGAACTAGAGGAGCTGATAACAGCACTAGGTGCCTCTGCCCCCTTTAGGAGCAGCAAGTATGTGTGCAAGAGAAGGTTGGATTGTGCATCGTTTTCTGAATGGACCAAAATGCTGCAAGAAGGACAAGAGATTATGACCAGTGACCCTTTTTCACGCTCGTACAGACCTAAGCAGGACCCTGGGTCCGTTATTTCAGATCAGGGACCACTCTGCTAACTCTTCACCTTTCTCCCTTATCGTACAGCCTTTGATTTATCCTTATGAGCACAGCTACAGTGTTTCTTCAGGCATGCCAGGGGAGGACAATGGATAAAGTTCATTTAGATTACTGTGTCAGTATGTGGCCATAGAGCAAGACTTCTTTATAAATATCTTATTGTCTAATGATGTTCCTCAGTCCACAACTCAGCCTGACTCTTTGTGATTCATTAGTTAGGATGACTAACTGTTACGTTGACCAAGTTCACTCGGACAAGCTCGGTCTTTCTTTTTTTTCATTAAATATATCTTTGTAATTTCATGATTTCTTTCCAACTGTCTTGCATCAGCTGTTCTCCTACTTGTTCTCGACCCATTCCCGTTCTGATGCCATGATCTGTCAACTTTGCTGGCTTCCCTCTGTAATCTATGATCTACGTCTTTGGGCACAATCTTCTCTCCGACTGTCAATGTAAATATGTTCTTGTTTTTATTTATGTCCTTTCCAGAATCAATCCTTTTTTGGGTTGGTGGTGATATATAAGTACAGAATATGAATGCACTTCATGCAGTGGAGTGTGTTGGAATATTGTGACTTCTTACAAGTCAGAATTTAATAAACATTCTATGACCTTTGTTAAAAAGTTTCCCTTCTTTATGTTCAAATGTTTAGAACACATTTTGCATATGGCACAATTTTGTGGTTGCCTCCTAAGGAAGGATAATAAATGAAATGTACAGGTCACCTTTTCCTTTCAATTTGAGTCATTTTACCTGATTGAAATGTTAGATTTCTCCCATACTTTCAACATCAAGCTGATAAACAGACATTTTTCCATAGCCTTTTCCACTTATCTTTACCAAGAGTACCAAGAACTGTGCAAGCGGTGACTACACAATTTAAAAAGAGCCGCATCTACAGTAACGTCCCCTCTACCTCTGCTCTGCAGTGTAAGCATTGTTCTCTACTTTTTTAAAATACCGAAATGTAAATGTGTAAACATACTTTAACCAAGTTCTTCCTGTAATTCAAGGTCTTTCAGGATAATCATTAAATTCCATGCACTAAATTTGAATTGTGCCCAAATACAACCCCATTTCCCTGTAGAAACTACAGTGCTGTACAGCCAACCCCCATTCATTTCAGCCAAACACAAGTGAAAAGCTGAAAACCTTAGCAGGCAGTAAGCTTTGCTCTTCTATTTAGGAGTGTGTGATGATACAAGAGCTGTTAATAATTAGAACTCTAATTTATTTTTATTTTTTTTTGGAGTTAAGTGTAGCACTTATCTTTAACATATACCACAAGGTGGCGCTCACTTACTAGATAAGAATGAATGCTTCATTCAGTTGTCCTAATAATGAGCACTTATTGCTTCCACACCACTGGCAGTGTTGTCTGTCATGCAAATCATATTAATATTAAAACATTCCAAGAAATGTCACATAAACATATCCGGTTAAATAAAAAAAAAAACAGCCACAGAATGTCCTGCTTCTCTGGCTTTGACACTTCTGTAAAGAGACTACAGGGAAAGACCTCAGCTATAAATGCCACAACTCTGCACCTTCTGTTATGTTTCTAAGGTTTCTATAGTGAATGAACTAAAGATGAACACTCAGCTGGTCAATTCTCTTCAGGTCCTCAGAAATGGGGACCTATGTATTAAAGCACTGTGGTTCCTATCAGGTTCAGTCAGTATAAATATGCTTGAATTAAAGCTGACGTTCCTTGTCACTGTTCAGAGCCAAAGCAACAAAAACAGTGTTGGGGTTCCAACTGTGCAAATTCTGTATAAATCTTTAGGTACATCAGGCATACATTCTGAGCTCGAACAAGTTTGGACAAATATGCACCCGGTCAAGCATGAAAAAACACTTTCTAATACTTCCCTCGACAAAGGTATTTTTTGGAGGGGAAAAACAAAGTATACAAGAATTAAAGAGCCAATATCATACATTTTTCATGCATTTTATTTTCCCTCATATGTCCGCTTATAATATGTGTGCTTTTATGTGCCAAAAATGGTCCTAATTACTTTTTACATGATCATTTTCCAACTTTCTTCATCCCTTGACTGTTTTTTGTTACTGTGCCTTTAGGATCGATATATGTACATTTGCTCTGTTCAGATTGGCTGTTCTGTACTGTCCTGTTTTTCATTCAAAAAATACTCAAAGCTAAAACACTCCCTAGCACTTCAGTTATTCTCCTGACATCACAGAAACTGAATTCAAAACAGGCTGTTTTTGCAGTTTAGTTTTCAATATTTGGACCGTACTGGCTGGACTGAACAGTACGGTTTGAAGCTTTAACAGTGTTTACATATTATTTCAAACACCTTTATTTAAAAAAGCAAAGGCAGTTTGGTTTTCCATGAAATGGGCCTTTTAAATTCTGTTTAAGGTTTTTCACGTCTTTTGAAATTACAAAATTCTTAAGAAAGCTTTAAGATTGTTATTAAATTCAGTCAGTGTGAACTGTTCATCACTTGAGAGAAGTGTAAGTGTAGATGTGTGCATACTTGTGAAGCTTGGAAACACAATTATTTCGCAAAAGACAAAGAATTGTAGGCGTTTTAAATGTTATTACAACGGTAAAAAAGTTAATTAAATCATTAAAGAAATAAAGGAAAATGTTTTATGTTGCTTTAGACAAGGAACACAGGGAAAGTGGAGAATTACTTATGGTTGATATTACTTAAAAGTCCCGGTCAGGTCGAATAACACTCGGAAAGCATGTTTACAACAGTATTTATTTATCATCACAGTTTATTTATAACGTATTAAATGTTGTTATTTTATTAGTTGTCATATTATTGTTTTATTATTACTTAGCAATTTATTGGCACATATTATTTTATGATTTGTTATTTTATTTATTTTTTATTTTATTTTTTTTTGTTTATTGTTCTGTTTTGTTTTCTTAATAATTTATTATTTATTTATTCAATTATTATTTAAATAGTAGGATTTTCCTCAGCGGCTCTTAACTTCCGTGTGGCTCTGCGCGCTCGTCATATCCGCTGTGTCTCACTGCGGTGATAATCATCGCTCAGATGTAAATGGAGAGAAACGATAAAAGTCGCGCAGTGAACGCAGCCCGGGCTCTCCGATCCACACACACAGCTCAGACCCCGCTCCCTGCTCTCCGGCCGGTCTTTCGGTAGCCTCTCACAACAGCCCCGGCTTCGCCACCTACCGTGTCAGCCATTTTCGCGCGGATGGCCGGGCAGGTTTGGAGGGCCGCTGGCCGGAGCCGCGGGCCTCAGCTGCGGACTCTGCTGGTGCTGTCGGCCGTCGGAGGACTGGTGTGTATGGCCGCCGCTGCTGAGGCGAAGGAGTGCGACAGACCGTGCGTGAACGGGCGGTGCAACCCGGCCAACGGCAACTGCTTATGTGATCCCGGGTGGGTAGGGGACCAGTGCCAGCACTGCGGCGGCCGCTTCAGGTAAGAGAAACCGAGCACAGAGGCCCTTTAACCGTCAGCAGAATAGCCAGCTATAACGCAACAACAAAGCCACTGTTACAGGGGATAACAGGCGAGGCGCTTTATCTGCCTCAGTTTAGACAGGTAGGTTAGCTTACTAGGTATTACTGCCAGCTTCAAACTTGGTCTTTTTATGTGCTCTAGGTCCAGCAGTGGCTCACAAAACGAGTGTTGATGAGCTGTAAAGCCGATTAAGTTACACGACTTGGACAGGATATAGTTGTTAACCTGATTGAATTGCGAGAAAAGATGCAACAGTTAAAGTTAGCTTCCATGTACACGGCATTGTTTACATTGGTGTAGGTGTAGCATAATGGCACGTTCTCTCAACGCAGATTAAAGCCTAATCTTGGATTGAATTATAATAAGGGTTTAGCATTATTAATCCTCCTTGGTGTTGGTCCAGGTCTAATATGGGACTGGAAAACCTGTCCTAAGAGGTTGGCATGCTGGGTTTGTCACAGCACTGTGAACCTGGACGAGCCCCCGGTGACTGACTGACTGATGGTTTTGGTTTGATCCTAATGAGGTTTGGCTCCCATGGTTAAAGACCATAACCATAACATTTAGAAGGCTCATTGTTATGGGTGCAGTTCGAGAATAGGCAAGAGGCAGCATGTTTTTGGATGAAGGCTTTAGTGTGCCGAGAGCCGAAGGGCTTTACGCTGTGGCTTGCTACAGTGGGAGGTTATTGATGGGCAAAACACACTGGTCGCATTTGGTCTGGGGTTGGCTAAGGTGAATTCAGCTCCAAATTGTCTGAAAGAAGAGAGCATTGGCGCCGAATGATCATGTGGTGTCAATCATGGACCCAGCCCTGCTTTGACTTAGGATACACAGAGGGTTTTTCTCCTGGTTGAGGATCTGTCACTACATAGAGGACACTCAAATAAGCCCACATACAAAGTACTGCACTGTCCACCGAGCCCTTTTTTTGTGTATGTCTCGCAGAGACCTTGTTGTAGTTTGATGGCCTGTCAAACATCTGAAGTTGTGGATGAGGATGCACTGTTGCCTCACAGCAAGAAGGGCCTGGGTTCGATTCCCGGCCGGGTGACCAGGGTCGTTTCTGTGTGGAGTTTGCATGTTCTACCCGTGTCTGCGTGGGTTTCCTCCGTGTAGTCCGGTTTCCTCCCACAGTCCAAAAACATGCAGTCAGGCTGATTGGATGTGCTAAATTGCCCCTTGGTGTGAGTGTGTGTGTGAATGTGTATGTCTGTCTGTCTGTCTGTCTGTCTGCCCTGCGATGGACTGGCGACCTGTCCAGGGTGTATCCTGCCTTCCGCCCAATGACAGCTGGGATAGGCTCCAGCACCCCACCGTGACCCAGAAGGATAAGCGGTTTAGATGATGGATGGATATCTGCAATTCTGATACATAAACATTTGTAATGTGTAGAGATTGGCACATCTGCTTGGGTTAGCTTGGGAATGATGCAACATGTGGTCAGCGTCAGCTAAACATTCTAGCTTAAAATAAATACATCATCAAATATGCGTTTGAAATATCAGGCCTGATGTTGATATGTACTTCTTAAAGGTCTCACATCCTGCATTTTTCTCTAGTATTCTGTTTTTCCCCCTGAGGTCGACTTTTGACATTTGTGTGCTTTTCTGTACCAAAAAGTCATAATTCATTTTTATATGACCATTTTCCAACCTCTTGTTATCTCTTACAATTACACAGACTTTTAAGACTGACTTATGTAAATGAACTCTGTTCTGATTGGCTGTTCTGTATTGCACCTCATTCAGAAGTCTGCTCAGACTGAAGCCCTCCTTATAACTTACTTCAGTGTGAGGGGCCGAGCTAAACTGCTATAGGCTGAGTAGGTGAATGTATTTAAATATGTTGGGTTTTTTGTGACATCACAAAAAAAAACAAAAAAAAACAAACTTGAACTGTTTTTGTTGCTTAATTTCTATATGTGGGCTGCGGCGTGAATATGTTTTGAAACTTATTTAAATTGTCACAATATCTGCATACGATATTGAACTCTATTGTTTCTTAAAAGAGAGGAAAATTCATTTTTCCAAGCAGTTATCTGCTGAAACCAGCATGATTCCCATATCACTATACATCCCTTTTTGTGGGTTCTAATGTAAAAGTTTAGATGAAAAAAATGTTTTGTTGCTTTTGTAAGTGAAATAGAGCATAATGGGGGGAAATTAATATAAAATGTGGCCAGAACAGAAGTTATGGCACACTGTGTTATGTTAATTTTTTCTCACGTGTTGAACAGTTGAGCAAACATGTATAGTGAGCTAAAGTTTGCCACATTTAAGTTTGTTCCATGTAGAGGATGTGTAACTTATTTTCACCTAGTAGATCAAAATGTAAATGGAATTTGACCGGGATATTCAAACATGTGACTGTACGTTCACACACATAACTGTGATAGCCCAAGTATTTTTGAGCTATTTTAGGTTTGAACCTTATAATTGCATGTAATCGTCACAAATGCTGGACTGCTTTTGCCCTTACACCAAAGGACTGTGTGTGAGGGAGTCAATGAGAGCAATGTTGGCTCGTTTTAGTAATGGCCGTCATTCCCCTATCATCAAAGGTTGGCCATTAATAGAATTATATAAAAGCCGTTATTCTCATTGCAAGTGGGTCATTAAAAAAGACAGTGGGAGGTTGTGTATCTGTACCAAAGCTGAAGAATAGGCCTGTATGTTCTTTTCCTTAAGTGTCCCTGCGTCTGTGGTCTGTTGCCAAATTCATCATTCCGAAACTGAATTATCACCAATGCAATCTGCTGTAATAAATAGGCAGCTTTTATTGCATCACTTGGAGAACGACAGAAGCCTGTCTGTCTGTCCCATCCCATAAACATGCCAACACACGCACACACACACAGTCTCCTTCCCCTGTACACTCCTTAAATAGATGAAACGCACATTCCCACCCGAGTTCCCAAGCTGCCCTGATGCATCACATCCTGTGGAGTTCTGTAGATGCTGTGTGAGGGTTTCTAAAACAGACTCGTGCTTTTTTTTGTAGCTGCTGTTATTGAAGCTGCTAGCTCCTGGTGCTCTGTTGCTCTGGCTGCCTTTACTTCATTCTCTGTGCCTCAGACTTTTAAACTCGCTCAGGACTCAGGAGTTTTTTTTACTGGTTCTGTCAACATCCAGTTATAATGGCTAGGTTGCATCTCTCCTGTGTTATTATCTTGAGGCCATTTTAGAACATTAGTGTTTTGATAAATGCAGAAATGATTGTAATGGAGGCTTTTAGTTGAAGACATCTGTTCCACAGAGTTGAACTGCAGTCTGCGAATTAGGTAGAAGCCAGAGGTGCACTAGTCGTGAAACTTTATGGCCAAATTGGCTGTTTATCAGTCATGAAACACACTGGTACCAGTACTTTTCAGTGGGCAAAGTTGCAACATAAATAACATTTATTTGCTCTTTAACGGGCCAAGCTGGCATTTTAAAAACTAGTTACATTAAATCAAATAAAGTGCTATATTGAAAGTAAGAGGCAACTGGCTATTGAGCACAATGAGTCATGCATAATTATACTGTGACATTTTGGTACAGGTGTAGCAGCAGCATTGAAATAGGATTATTTTCTATAATTGTGGTCCCGTTATTTTGACCAAGACAACCAGCATGTGGCCAGCATATCCTTCTTTTCTGGCTTGAGGCTTGAACGTTGCCAGTTACTGCCAGTTGGTTGTGGTTGTATTGTCATATACACACATTAGTTGCTTTAGAGTGGTATAACTCATCTTCAGGCAGTTCACAGGCTCTGTTATTTAGTTAAATGGTCCCATCTAAAACTTATGACAGCATTGGCTGTAATTAAAATGTCAGCTTTTGCAATTTGAAAATAGCACTCTTTAAAATTGCGATTTCAGTATAAACATGATTCATTTTTCAGCACTAAAATATTCTAAAGACTATAGAGACAGTGTTTCCCCTACACTGCCCACTTGATTTTATATTATACTTACATGGTGCTGCTGTTTATTCCATCATTTTTTCTGTTGATTGGCTTCCAAAATTAGCCTTTAAGCTGAGTGGTGCCCTGATCATGAATATTTATGGCTGAAATTGTTGTTGTTATTATTGTTATTATTATTATTATTATTATTATTATTATTATTATCATCATCATTATTATTATTACTATGTTGCTACTTGTGTACTTTTGGCTCCTCTGACTTCTCTATGGCCTTCTGATAAGTAAAATCTGTTTATTCATTTATCTTATTTCAGCCATTGAAACGGAATGTAAGAGATCACATTTCTCTGCAATATAGAGCTGTTTGAAGACTCCGTTTACAAAAGCTCTCGGCTTTTCTTGACATCTCTTTCTGTAAGAGCTATAAAATGGCAAAACATAAAACACTCTCTACTTCTCCTCCTCAGTCCTGCTATACTTTAATCTGCTGAATCCAATCTTGGCTGATTCCAGTTGTTTGTCCATTTTAGGGCTTGCTGTAGAACAGAAGCTGTAACAATGAACATTCTGGCTATATTATGCAGTCTAGGCAAATAACCTAAATAAAACATAGGCTTTATTTTAACTGTCCACTGCTGCAGTGTAATGTATGCAGGACTAGTGACGGTCAAGACAAGTTAGCTTGTAGCCAACCAGTGTCACCCACTAATGAAATTTTTCCATACAAAACAAGCTTTGGACTCCGTGAACGCCATAGAGACAAACACGCAAGGCTTCACTCTCACATTAGGAGAGATTAATGCCTTCAGGATTGGATGTGATAAGGTCCTCTTTTGGGCCTTTCATGCCACTATTTTGCTACTTTGAAAATGGCACATGACAAACATTAGCCTGTGTTCGTCAAGACCTTGTTAGCTGTTCTCGAGATGCACTGAAAATGTTCTCGCCGAATTAAACGTTTCTGATTGTTTTCGTGCTGTGTACTGCTTTTAAAGTTTGAATTCAAGGCAAACCTTTCTGCAGATAAAACCAAAAGTCTTGGAGAAAAGCGTTATGCGTCATGCGAGGCTGTACTGAAATACAAGTGCAATAAAGTTAGATCTCTAATGGAGTGTCTGTTGGACTCTGTAACAGCTTTATCTGCATGTGGTGCCATAGAGCACTGAATTGGTATATTGTGTGTTGTTATTACGTTGGCAGCCTCTGACAAGACACACCACCTGCCTTTATATTTTTACTGAAAAACCTTGAACCCAGAAACCTTTGCAATCCATAACTGTCTGCCTTAAATGTTATCAGAGCAGTGCTAGTGTGGGGTAAATTACACAGTAGGTCATCTACGGCTGGACTTTGGCTGTTGTTCTGGGCTGTGTTTTGGTCTGTCCTCTCAGGTGTGTTTACAGATTGATTGTTAATGGTGTGCAAATCCTCTGCACAGGTTAACTGGACCCTCCGGGTACCTGTCAGATGGACCAGGAAACTACAAATACAAAACAAAGTGCACATGGCTCATAGAGGGACAGTAAGTACATACTTTTACTTCTACATTCTGATACTCATACATATCCATATAGACACTGATGATTGAAATGTGTTGTGTCCGCAGGGCTAACTCTATTCTGAGGCTGCGCTTTGAGCACTTCGCTACAGAGTGCAGCTGGGACCACCTATATGTGTATGACGGAGACTCTATTTACTCTCCTCTGCTGGCTGCGTTCAGGTACTTGGGGACACTATTGTAAACGGCTGCGTGATGCTAGGGGGTGGGAAAAATTTGGTACAGTATGATCCACTATATTTAGGATTGGAAAAATAGTGTTGAGTGATATCAGTGCACAGTTGCTTAAAAACACCAAAACACCTTAAGTTGAATTTTCCTGTAGAATTACTCTTAAGTAATTCCTACGGTTAAGTATGTTGCACAAAAACAACTCTTAAGGAAACCCTTAAGTTCCACCAAAGTGACACTGTCACACACCCTCACAACTTCCCTTGACAATTTCCATTCCCTTGGTCATATTTCCCTTAAATAACCCCTGGAGTGTTGAATGAAGTTCCTTGTCTGTCATTTCCCTGAAGATAATTTAAGGTAAAGAAAACGCTCCCTAAAGATTTTTGGCCAACATGAGAAGCTGAAGATATGGCTGAGTTTTGGAAATGTTTGAAGAGTTATTTTATGACAACAGACATATAGCACATAAGGCAAACAAATAAGATAAAAAGCAGAACAAGCCAGACATAAATCATGACGACAGACATTACATAAGGCAAACAAATAAAGTGAAAATCAAGACAAGACAAACATAAAAAGATAATGACAAACAGGCAGTACTGGCAAAACTGTATTATATGTATAGGCATATACACATTCAGCATCTTTGTACCAAAAATACAGTAGTCTGCTGTAGTAATCTGTTAATAACTAGGTAATATTGCTTTGCTGTGCAAAAAAAAAGGGAGACCCAGGGCGCCCCTAAGGGCTCCCCCGACCACCCTTGAACACCCCCCCCCCACTATTAAAATTGTATGCATGTTTTAGTGCATGTAGGGCTACATTCTGAAAGATGTAATGTCTTTAAAATGAACTAAAATGTACACAAAATAGATAAATAAGTAAATGTGTATTTTTACACTAATATTGTGCTCAGACTGGGTGCTGTGAGTTGTGTTACGCTACCTAGTCTTCACAGCACCAGCTATGAATTTTTTTTTCCAGAAAAAATGAAAGGCTGTTAGCAGCCATGCAATGATCAAGCATATATCTTTGTTAAAGAGTAAATTTATTTTAGGCTGTGAGAAGCTTTGCTCTGCTCTGCTCCACCCATATACATATACAGACTGATAAACCTTGTTGTTGAACTTGGCTAAAACCCACCTTTGTTAGGAAAGAGATTGACTGACATGCGAAACAAAGTGATTTTGCATGACGGGAGGTGCTGAGCCAGTCACAATCTTACAGAAATACATGTGTGAATCAGTTTATTTATTTACGTCAACTGTATTTAAAACGTCCATGAAATGTTTCCAGTGGGGTTTTCAGCCCACAGATATTTGTCATGTTCACATCCTCAGTGTGTAGGATGTCCACTGAGTGCAAGGCACTTTTTGCTGACGGCAGGAGAAACAGCTTATCAACGCTAATTTTAGGAGGGTCAGTTAGTTTCAGTATTTAGCTAGTGTAGGTGCTAATCCTAAATTTTGTTAATGAGAGAACACGATCACAGAAATGATGTTGGAATCTGTCACTGTATTTCTGTATGTAGTCAGTCAGCATTTTCCCTTAGCTAAGAGAAACATCTGAGGGAGTTTATTCAACACCCTTAAAGAATTCCCTTTAAATAAAAAACTTTCCCTTGACGTTCATACTTGAGGGTGTTTTATGCAACCAGGCACAGCATTTTAATTCAGTGTTTATTTATTATATGTACAATATGCCAAGGACATCTGTACAATGAAATGCTTCTGATGAGGTTTAAGTAATTTTTCTCCACTGCTGTTCAAAAAACTAAACATCTGGTTAATTCATTTTATTTGTTGTCAATTTTTAATGGTATTTTATTGTTTAATTATAAATATTTTTAGTATGTATCAAGCCCATTGTTCAGCTGACTGATTACCAAAATACATGTCTGTCTCAATCTTTCTTTCTGGTGAGACCGAGGTTTCCTCAGTTGAGTTGTTGTGTGTTGGACAGTGTAGTGGAGCATGTGGAATTTGTTCAGGCAGATATTGGAAATACTACAATAACACACCAATAAGAGTTGCTGTATGAGACTCCCAACACAGCATTGATCTGCCACTGTCACTTACTCTGGATAAAAGCATTAGGTAAAAACTTGGGATAAAGGCTGTTTGAATGTTGTTTTTCACATATTAGAGCATCTGCTAAATATGTAAATGTAAGGATAAATAACTTATTACTGTCAAATCACCGTGCTTACATTCACACTTTACAGTTTAACATTTTTGGTTGCTGTGGGCTTTATCCAGTTTCTGTTGCCTGTATACTGAAAAGGCAAGCTCCACCTCTGGAACATCTTAGTACGTTTAGAATCTGTTTGACAACTTACAATACATGAAATCTCAGGGCTGCTTTGGTTTTTTTTCCCTCAGCATGGATTTTTTAACAGTAACATTCACACTTTTATGTTGCAGCGGACTGATTGTTCCAGAACACTACAGCAATGAGACGGTTCCAGAGGTGGTGTCTGAATCCGGCTATGCACTTCTGCACTTTTTCAGTGATGCAGCCTACAACCTAACTGGCTTCAACATCTCATACAGGTGAGCGCTAATGACAAATTAAAGCAAAAAAATTCAGATTGTCAGATTGATGGACAGGAGGCTATCCCTGATTTGGTGAAAAAAATAAATCTGAAGCATAGAATTGTTTTACTTTCTACAATAGAGAACACTTGCATTCTTTTCCCCCTAGACTGAATATCCATTGTTAGGCCTATTCATTATTGAGAGATCTGGCCTTTTTCCCCTCAGTATCTGAAAGAAACCTGTACCTGCAGTGTTAAACTATAACTTTTCCTCCAGATCCAGTGACAGGACTGCTGTTTTGGAAGGGCATGACAAATTTGTGGGTGGGTTAAGCCTTGAATTTCAGTTCTGCAAGGAGGTGTGGCAAGGGGGCTTCAGTGAAGTAGTTGCCATAACTAATGCGGTGTTTAATCGTCAACCTCAGAATAAATTAGGACTGAGACACATAGAACTCAACTCATAATAAAAAAAAATCTAAACAAGTGCTTTGCACAAAGGATCTGTAGTGTTTTCTATAGCTTTAATATGTTTGCACTGTCTTTCTATTATTCCAGCATTTATCCCTCCAGATTTAATGAGCCACATTTAAAGTTAGCATGCATGTTTGTAGTTGTTGTCTGTATGTAAGGTTATATGGTGTGCTTGGTTTCTTTTGTGGTACACTTCCAGTCGTGTGCAGCAATGAGAGTCTTGAAAATATTTTTGTTTTTAGAGGCACTGATCGAATGAATCCAGTCCAGTCCTGTAACACATTTGGCCTGAAATAACCACACTCACATTGTCATGTCATGTTATTAGCTGGGTATTTCTGTGAGTTAAAAGCTTATTTTAGGTATCATGAATTTGATGCACGGCCAAGCCACAGCCATCTGTGGGTAGAAGTCCAAGAGAGCAAAATTGGCCTCATTCTCTCCAGGTGGGTATAGTGGTCCTTCCTCTCCCCCATCATTCAGTGCGATGCTAGACAGTGGATCTATTAGCACGTTGCGTGTTGAGCTTCCAGTGACGTTGCATTAGTGGCCTCTTGATAGTATGATGCGATGGGGAGAACTAGCCAGCTGGTGGAATTGGCAGTGACTAAACTGGTGAAAAAAATGGGTAGAAATCCAAATGAATAAATAAGTCAATAAATAAAGCGAAGTATCTTTTAGAACAAAGAAATATTAGATTGGTTGCAGCCAAAGCTTAAAGCTTCAGTATCGGTATCGGAAAAGAAAAAGTCATTAGGTGCCGTGTCTCATTGTTTTCTTTGACAAATTGATATGCCAATGTCTCACACCTATGATTACTGCTTACATATTTATTATTATTGTTTTGAGTATTTTACATGTTTAGTGAGTGAATTTTCACTGGTGAGCCAGTGACAGAAGTGAGTATGTCTGGTCCCACTGGAGCTGCTAATCTCCATAAGGCCACTAGCAGTTCCATGTCCTGGTGAATTCTGACATCTGCTGCACTTCAGAGCACAGGAGGAGACTTGTTTAGTTGTTAGGAGTTTTTAGCTCATGCTTTGCACTAAATTTCATATGACTTCAGGAGAAATGCCACAGATGTTGTTCTGATTGGTTTAAAATGATAATATTTTGTATAGTTATACTTTGGATGAACGTACAACATCAATTATTTGTTTTTTCAAATTGCATGTCATTTTCTTGTTTTATTTACAGTCAGTTTTGGATGTCCTAAAACACTGGTTCTGTGTAACCAACAGTGAATTTATTATGAAAAATTAAGTAGTAAAAAACTCCCTTTTTAGTCATATGGTTTGATTGATTCGAAATTCTTTAGATTTGTGATGCTGCACTAAGACGAGCTAAAAGAACATTTCAGACATGGGCATCAGTGGCTTAATCCACCCTTCAGTGACTGCAAAGATGAAAGTCAGATCTGAACATGGATCGAAATGATACCGATAAGGAGTTATCTCAATAGGTGAAGGGCTCTTCGCCTCGTCTCAGAGCAGCTTGTGGGCTGTCACCTCTGAGGAGGCTCTGGCATAAGGTTAGAGGGAGCACACAGATGTGTTTGATGGCTTTGGCCTCTGGGTCTGGGGAGTTCTGGTGCTTACTGGTACGGTTTCTATAGCGACCGTATTCATGTTGGACCCCCTTCCTCCTGAAGAAACACAGTAGAGTGCAATATCAAAAGAACATCAAAAAGAGCCTCTCTCTCCCTCTCTCACACACACACACACACACATTATGCACATTCATGCTCACCCTTCAGACACTCCCCTCTTTACACACACAAAAAAACAAGGCACACTGAAGGACATCAAACAGATGCTTGTGTCTTTGTGCCTCTCTCCCTATCCTCCCTCCTTTTTCTCTCTCTCTCTCTCTCACACACACACACACACACACACACACACACACACTGAGTTCTGTTCAGCTGTAGAGGAGAGTGAGCTGCCTACTAATGGGGGAAGCTGTATCTCTCCTAATGCCAGCACAGGTTTAAATGCAGCTCCTGTGCTGATAAAATTGGCTAAAGTTAATACTAGCAGGCTAGCACTTTATTTACCTACTGAAATTTATAGCATTTAACACTCCACTGACACATTAATGGGACAGTTACACAGGAAAAGCTAAAAATTCTCCCTGGCTCGTATAGAGACTAATCACACACACACACACACACACACGTGTATGTATGTGTGTGTGTGTGTGTGTGTGTGTGTGTGTGTGTGTATAAAACTGTCCAACAATCGAAACTGGGAAACGATTTTGAGACCTGCAACAACACTGTCAAAAGTTTGCACATAAGGAAATGAAACCTAAACTTGTGTGAGTTAGTCTGAATAAATGTATCAGAAAGATCATGAGTAAAGTTCGTGCTTACAAACTGCAAATTTGCAAATCTAAAAACAGAACTGAACTCCCTTTTAATAAAATTTGTAAAAGTTTACCTTCAAAACCTACTTTAACTGTGTAAACTCATTTGTGAAGACTCCAGTCTTGATTCCACACTTTATATACAAAAACACATGATCTGACTAAATGAGCATGTAAAGCTCAGTTCATTTACTTGTTTTCCACACAGTTTACTTTTATCATTGAGCTATGATAACACGTGTTTGCCAGATGCATTATGTGGCACAAGTAATGTATATCTTTGCGCTTTTGTTTATTTATTTTTTTATTTATTAGATGTCTTCTAAGAAAATGAGTTGTCAGTTATCCCTTCAACAAGCAATGTTGTCTTTTGGGACATTTCTGGAATTACCAAAAAAATAATAGATAAATGTGAAAGTTATGTTCTTTTCTTAATCTTTATTGACAGCATGTTGTATCATAATGCAAAAATGCTAAGACCTGTTGTGTCATGAAATTTTTATATTGTTGCACCTCTAATATATAGCAAATATTATATACTAAACATATTATATTAACATATTGTTCTCTCATTTGGCAAGGAAGTGGGGTTAGGGTAACTTTCTGGTGGGCCAAATCACACGTCCTCATGAGCCACACTTTGGGCAGTCCTAATCGGGTCTGTCGCTCTTGCACATACTGTAATAATCGGGTCTGTCGCTCTTACACATACTGTAATAATGGTTCGAAAGATGGTTTTAATCCATAATAATCCATAATGTGTGCTCGTACTTTAAGTTCTGTGATTAACTCTCTCTCTCTCTCTCTCTCTCTCTCTCTCTCTCTCTCTCACACATCCTCCCCCAAGGATAAATACATGTCCTAATAACTGCTCAGGCCGCGGTGCGTGTCTGCTGGTTAACTCCAGTGACACGGCACAGTGCGAGTGTGAAGAGGGCTGGAAAGGAGAGGCGTGTGACGTCCCGTACTGTGCCTTCAACTGTGGATACCCCATGCGGGGCCAGTGCCAAACCAGCACCAGACGCTGCCGCTGCAAGCCTGGATGGCAAGGTGTGCTATGTTTCTTTGTGTGTGGCCAGAGACATAGGAAAAAATAACATGCACAAAAGCAGGAATGGCTTCTGTTTCCTTGCTGACTTCTATTTCCTTCTTCATTACCTTCAGATACTGCTTTATTTAATCTGAACTGCTGCAGTAGAATGGCTGAATACAGAAGAGAAGCTCACATAGCATTAGCCTGCGAGGTGCCTTATTCCAGTCTTTAATTGTTGCATTATATTCTGTGGAAACTTGGCAGAGAACCCTGGCTTGACTGAGGTTGGCTGGTATTGATTCATGCCTTTATTTGTGTTTCTCTGGTTAGGTTCACAATAGCGCACTTCTGTGTCAGAGTGTGCAGTGAATTGCGTAGTGACTTGTCATCTGCCCTACAGAGTTTGTGGGTTTATGGCTCTATAAAAAAAAAAAATCTGCTCTTGTAAAGCTATTTTCTGAGGTGTGTTGCAATGACTCATGGAGGATATTAAGCTGCCCTTGCTGTTCCGTCTTTATGTCTCTCCAAAACTGTTTCTTTATCATTGCCTAGTTCATTTTCTCTCTCTGTGTCGTTGTTTGTCTCTCTTTCTTTCTCTCTCAGTTTAGTGTTGGTATTGAGGACATTACTGTGCATCAAACTAAACTTTCAAATGTACGACTGTAAAATATATATATATATATATATTATATATATATATATATATATATATATATATATATATATACACACACACACATACAAAACAACCTTCAAGAAAATGCATTTTAAATACACAGTTTTTCTGTTAATACTGTTTTTAACAAAATGTTTTATCATAAAACCAGGGAAAGAATGGAAATTACTTAATGACAGACATGATATTAGGCTTTTAAAGACCATGTCATACCCATTTAATGTTAGCTAAAGGCTGAACAACTCCTCCTTACATTGGTACAAAGAGAAACAATTTGTTTGGCTAATTTATTCATTTAGACTCACAGAACCACATAGTCCTAATGCATTTACGTATCTGTCTACTTAACCTACTGCACTTCAGTCTTGTCCATTTACACTGAAGGAGTTTCAGCCTGGACTGCTTTTGAATGAGGCACAATTTAAACGAAATCAGAGCAGGCATCATTTACATTCATCAGTCTCTGTGAGCACTATCAGTGTAGTCTGCTGAAGGTGCTGCTTTAAAAGCCCTTTAAAAGCTGTATTTGAATGAGAGGGCTACAATCACACATTCTAGTGTAGTAACATACAGTGTACAAGCAGCTATAACTTTGATATCCCTGAATAAAATAAAAGACAATATAGAATATGACTCCTGAGCTGCTAGATCTCAGGAATGTTTCAAGTTGTATTATTGTCTAATGCTTTATTTCTCTGTTTGTGTAAATCACTTTGAATTCCCACTGTGCATGAAAGGTGCTATACAAATAAACTTGACTTTGGCGCATCTAAAGGCAGTGTACACTTGGATCGTTGTATGATAAATTTTGCAGATTTGCTAAAACTTTGTGAGACATTGCATCATAGAACGGTGATTATCTTCTATAAATTAAGGGCTAGACATGTTAGTTTGACCAATAAGACCAGTTTTTTTTTTTCTGGCTGGAGGCTTGAATGCTGAACATATTGTGCCAGACTGCCAGTTAGTTGTGGTTGTGTTGTCAAGTATGAAGTGTTGTCCAGTATGCAGCACATGGGTGTTTGGTTGCTTTTGACTTCTGATTGGTCTTATTCATCTACAAGCAGTTCACAAGCTCCATGTTGGTACTGTTGTGCCGATACTGGCACTTAAACATAGTATTAAGTATTGGCAATGGGGATACTGACACCTAGGCCCCATACCATGAAGCAGTTTCTGGAGAGAACTTAACACGTCGGTGGTGTGGGTTGAGAAGCAGCAGCAAGAATGCTTATACAAAACCAGTTCTTTTGTGGAAAGCCTGTAGTAGGAATTCTTCCTAAGCTATTCAGAATTCTTCCTAAGCTGTCAATTTCGCCAGTGTGTCAAAATTAACCAGGCATCGCAACGTACAGTGTTAAACATCCTAACGGGAGGTCCTTATCGTCGGGGTATGAAAGCCTTTAGTCTTGGTTTAGCCTTTAGCATATCAGCACGCTAGCTAGGCCTGTGTGTCCACTAGCCCTGCCTATGAAGCACTTTCGTTGGTTAGTTGCATCACACAGCAGCCGGGTATCGTGGCCATTTGTTTCAACAAAGCTGAGGATATATATGTGTATGTGTATGTGTATGTGTGTGTGTGTGTGTGTGTGTGTGTGTTATTTAATATAAAAAATTATATATATATAGACGCTGTCCAAGGAAAACCATTTATCTTCACTTTTGACAATTTTTATTTTTCTACATCATTTAAACACACCAGCTGTCCTTTACATTGTATGTAATAAAATACTATTTTGGAGATATGTGAGTGGAAAAAAAAGTGGTATCGGTGCATCCCTAGTTATTAGGTTAAATTTCCCCACTTAAAACTTAAGCCAGTGTTGTTGACAATAAGGGCTAAAATTAAAATTGCAGCTCTTGGAATTTGAAAATTGCACTCTTTTAAAAGTGTGATTTCAGTGTAAAAATAATGAATCTTTCAGTCCTAAATTACAGTGGAGAAAGGTGCTGAGACATTTGAAAAAAATGTAACAATGTAATAAGAAGAACTGCCTTGTCTTCCAGGAATGCTACTTCATTGATTGTCCATAAGGATGAACGATAAACATGTTTTGAGTAGTGGAAATACGGCTTGTTGTTAATGCGTGAGTTTGAATTATAAGGAGCGCTTACTCTTTCCTGCACTGCTGGCACAGTGTGCTAAGTGCTTTTGCTAGCAGTTTGTGCTCACTGTCCACACTGTGTCAGCACAGTTCATTTATATATCATTCACTGCAGTCATTACATCTTTTCAGGGCCGTACAGCACTGCACTGGGCCTTCTGCTTCTGTTTGTGTATTCCAAACAGAGATAGGGTTTTATTTAATATTTTAAACTCCAGCATTTTAATGACTAAATAGCACTGCATTTTTGCTCTTTGTGCTGTTTCTACATTCTGGTCAGACATATAGTTTTGTTTAATATTTCAAATGTAGTTGACTGTAATCGGTTTTATTTCATGGTGCAGTGGAATGGTGTTAGCATGTAAAGTGAGTAGTGACCTTGTCGCCAAGATTAGCTAAGTTAACTCTCTTATCTCTCGACATTACAGGGCAGCAGTAGGAGATGGTATGTGTTTTTGAATGAATCCAACATTTCCTTGAGCTTGGGGTAATTTTCATAAGTGATGGGACTTGGCTTAATTTAGTTTTGCAGACATTTTTCAACAATTATCTTACAGGGTTTTATATGGAGTTTAATAAGCTGTTCTCAGCTGGATTTTTCTCCCATTGTACAAAATGGAGGCGTAGCAAGACCTCATTACTACAAGATAGTATTGATTCCATAACTCATTTAAACAATTTCAGAATTGGAGTTGCTTTTCTGTGTAGATTTGCTCTGCAAGCTTTTTATATAGGATAATTCGCTTCTTAAATTAAAGGTTGATTAAAGGTGTGCAAGAAATTTGCTGTAATATGAGGAAAATCCTGCGTTTGAACAATTCAGTTTAACTTTAGCACAAACATGTTTGGTAAGAAAGTCTGTAATCCTGCAACTTTGTTTTTGTAAATTTGTACAGCGATACTTTCTGAATCTTTGGATTAGTATTGCGTTGTTTCATCAAGTGTACCAGTTGAAAATCTTCTGTAGGTATGCACTTCATAAGTGTTATACTGATATGCCACAAATAAGTGCAGATAACTCAAAGTACAAGCAACCTTAGCTTAATATGGAGACATGGTTTCCTCTCATACTGTCTAAGGAATCCCTGGTCTGGTCAGCTGCATCAGACAAGGCCACAGTCCCAGGGTCTTGTGTGCGAAACAAGCTGTGGACCAACTAGTACTGAACAGTGAATGACCGTAACATTTTCCAAATTCCAGCTGTGTCTGAGGGTCAGAGGTGTGAGTATATGGGATGCGTATATGAGACAAATGACTTGAAAAATTAGATAAAGCTGAAGCTGGCTTCTTATTTAAATTTCCTGTTTAAGCTTAAAAGGTGCAGCAGTTACGTTCAGGCACATGTACAGTATGAGAAACCAACTTCAGCCTTTCAGAAATTAAGATGTGAAACAACTTGTAGTGCCATTATTGCCAGGCCGGCAGAGATGTTAGAAAGCAGTGTTGACATAGGATCATTTATATATTGTTCAACTTTGTTTTTACTGTTTTGCACAATAAAGACACATTTACTTTAGTTGTTAAAAATGCTTCTTATTTAAAAGGGAAGAGACATCCTAGAACAATAAGCCACTGTTAACCTACAACAATAGGTTTAATTAAGAACCTAAAATGACTTTATTTCAAAAGTTTTAGTTGCACTATGATGTAAATTATTGTCCACACCACTCCTACTATGGATAAACGTTTTGTTTTGTAGTCGGTAATTTATTTGGTGGTAAAATCTAGGCTAGTAAAAAGAAAAATATTAAATGATTTGTTTATGCTGCAGATGAATAAGTTAACTGTGTGCATGTGTGCTTGTGTTTCAGGCCCTGATTGTTCAGTGTCAGCACCTGCTAACGTTTCTTTCTGGACACATGAGGAGTACAGGGGGCACGGGCTGGCACGCGCATCCCATAAGGCCGTGGTGCTTGAAGATGTCATGTGGGTGATCGGTGGACACGTGTTCAACTACTCAAACTACCAGATGGTGACAGCGTGAGTTTACATACACAGGAAGAGGAGGGAAGGAAAAAAAAAACTGTGGAATGATTCTCATTCTCTCTCTCTCTCTGTCTCTCTCTCACTCTCTCTCAGGTTCAGCCTCTCCTCTCAGAGCTGGATGTCTCTGAATCGTTCAGTCAACTATGTCACCGCGCGCTATGGTCACACTCTGGCTGTGTATGAGGTGTGTGTCCATGTTTTCTGTGTGGGTTGTGTTGTGTGAGACGTTATAAAGGAGAAGACTGGTCGCTGGTTGAAATATGACTGAAAAAGCTCATGACGCTCATGGCGTCTGTTTGTAGAGAAAGTCCCGCCCTTCATGAAAAAGAGCCAATCAGCTTGCTGGTTATACCACAAGTGGGGAAAGCCCACCCCCCATTGTGGAGATCTGTGCAAGCACAGTAGCCATAATAACCTGAAAAACATGTTTTGTATGGGTTTCTGAGACAAATGCTACAAACTGTTCATGAGGCTTTCGTCAGATTTCATTAGTGATTACTGTTTTTGAAACGGTAATTTGATCTTCAGTTTCATGTATTTTGGTCTCTTCCCATTCAAAGAGTTAGGAGCCTGGTCTTGTATGGCTGGAAATAACTGCCTGGCGGTGTTGCAAAATGGCTGCCAAGTAAACAGACTTTGCTATAAGGACTTTGACTGTGTTACAGATTTGTGTGTAATGTAGAAGTGTAGTTCACTTGCATGGTCTCTAAATGAGTAAACGCAGTGTACAGTTTTCAAGCCATCATTCAGTAAATGTCAAACCATCTATAAAACAATTGCTAAATGTGTAACAGTGCCGCTAACTAGGAGACAGTTAGCGTTAGTTTAGTTAGCATGATGACAGCTCTACTTACCACAGAGCATATTTGATTCTGCTAACTAAAGCACTGACTCAGGGTTAGATGATAATGATAATCTTAGTTAACTCAAGCCATTGGCACTGAAGGGACAGAAGGGTAACATTTCCTTTCTGTTCTGTGGTGTTTGGATCTGTAGCCTGAGCCGGATCTGAGTGGCTATCTTAACATTAGCTTAGCACACAGGCTTTGGTGCCACAAAGTACAGGTTTGATTCTGACTAATTGGTGCTTTGCTGAAACAATGTGTAAATGACATAAAGTAATATCTGAGAGAGCAAAGGTCGAGAGACTGGTGTTGGAGTGACAGAAAGCAAAAAAAGAAACCTGTTCTGTGGTGTTTGGGGCTATAGCATTTTGGCTAAGCTAATGATAGCTTAGTTAGCAGGCCAAACTTACCACACAGCATAGACTGGGTTGCAGCTAACTGATGCTAAAATGGCACCCAGAGTAAATCTGTGAGCGCAAAGTCGAATGACTGGTGTTGGAGTGAAAGCCAAAATCAGACCTGTTCTGTGGTGTATGTAGTTCTTAGCCGTCATGGAGCAGCGGACCTGATGGTTTTTGAGTTGTGTCTTTTTTTTATCAGCGCCACCTATCAGTGAGCTCCCACATCAACAATCAGTGAGCACCTTTTAAAGATAAATGGGTGGAATGTGATTATTTGGCCATTCAGACATGGAATTCAAATTTCTGTTCTGTTAAAAGATAAAATCTGCATTTCACTGAATTGTTGATAAGTATGTATTTTTTTTTTCCATTGTCTATGTGCACCTTTCATTGTATAATACATGTTTGCAAACAAAATCAAGCATGAACAGGTTTTTAGTTGAAGCACTTGTCCTTGGCTTCTAACATCTCACTTGCTCATTCAGTGACATGTTTAGCAGGCTATGTATTTTCCACAAAGGGAGATGAGCTATTAGTACTCATACATCACTGAAAGGGAGGAAAATGACATGATCCCCAACCAGCAGGATCTCTCAAATTCATGTTGTTTTTAGTCACAAATTGAATGTCTAAAAAATGTAAAAAACCCACATATACTCTATTTAAATATGTAAACACAGGGTATAAATGATTCTGCTGAGGTTGCAGTACAATAACCACTGTTTATTGACAGAGGAAACATTCACTTATAGTAGCTGTGCTTCAGCTAGGTTGTGGAGATTACCACATACAAAAAAATGCAGAGCATACTGTGAAAGAGTGATGCTTTACATCAGTGCAAATATGTACTTGTTTGAATATGTTGTTTATTGTCCTGTGTGCTTGTTTGTGCTCTGTCCTCAGGATAAGATTTATATGTATGGAGGGAAGATTGATTCCACAGGGAACGTGACTTCAGAGCTGTTGGTGTTCCACACACAGAATCAGTCGTGGGAGCTGTTAAGCCCCCAGGCTAAAGAGCAGTACGCGGTGGTGGGTCACTCTGCTCACACTGTCCATCTCAAACCTGACGGATCAGAGCCTGTCATGCTGGTCTTCTTTGGACACTGTCCTCTCTATGGATACATTAGCCAAGTGCAGCAGTACAACATCGGTCAGTAACACACAAAGAATAGCTAGGTTTCCATGTATAAAGTTATAGTTTTTCTTTTTTTATAACATGCTAGAACAACGAAACTTTGCAGGATCGTAGCGATTATATGGGAATATTGCGCTTGTGCTTTTTCGGACCAGTTGCACGTATGGGTTTTGTACATTGTTTATTCAAACACAGATTTTTCCTATATGAAATGGATGGCAGAATGTTGGAACATTCAGATTTAACATATTAGCAACCACCTGGGGTTTGAAAGTTTGGTCATGAAATTTCCCCTTTTAGTTTATATAATTAATAATAAATTTATATGTCATGTTATTTTTTACAATTAAAATGAACGTTTTTACACGACACCAACTGAAAAGAGATTTTATCAGTATTTGTAAAATATAACTGATAACTGCTGTTTACATTTTCTGAATTGTTAAACATTTCAAAGCATTCAAACATTTTCTGTATGAAATCCCTTGAGTGGTCTCCTAATCATATTTTTATTAAAGTAAACTGCGGTGTAATATTATATTATAATATTTCCCTTTTCTTCATGTCTTTGTATCCAGTGAAGAACAGGTGGAGTGTTTTGGAGACAAGAGGGGCACTGGTTCACGGGGGCTACGGCCACAGCAGTGTGTATGACCCCCTCACACGCTCTGTCTACATCCATGGAGGCTACAAAGCCTTCAATGCCACAAAGTACGGCCTGGCTGGGGATCTGTACCGTTACGACGTGGACAACAGCATGTGGTGAGCTTGTGCAAAAAGTCCATCACTGTGCTAAACTATTCTGTGCTTGCAGTACATTGTACAGACCATGAAGACCCTTAGAAATTCACTCTGTCCACATGTCAGTAATATTTCAAACGAAAAGATTAAATACACTATAGATCGTGCAGCTAACAAAATTATTGTTGGATTCAGTGAGCTAATGCTAAGCTCATTGAATCACAGAGACTAAAACCCAGATATATCGCTGGATCAACTGAATGATGATTCACGTTACTTTTCCTGCATGCAAAAATTCACATACATTTACGTACATACATACATAAATACATATATGTGTAGCTAAAATGGTTTAAATGGGTCAAATGCTAAAGGAATACACAGTCAACAGGGACAGATACATCATGTAGCATCTTAACGTAGGCGAAGTCACATATGTTTGTCAAGACAGCATATAAAGCTGTTAGTGCTCCTGACCTCTTTAATGCCAGATATGTTGAAAACTGCTTCTGTGCCTTTTCTGTGCCTTCAGATTTTGCAGTGATGTAACTCTTTTTTGCAGGTCAGTTCTGAGAGACAGCGGCTCTTTCCGCTACCTCCACACAGCCGTGTTGGTGGGCGGCAGTTTACTGGTGTTTGGAGGGAACACCCACAATGACACATCTATGAGTCACGGTGCCAAGTGCTTCTCTTCTGACTTCATGGCCTATAATCTGGGTGAGTAACTGCCTTTAATACCCCACTCGCTCCTGTGCCATCCATGGCTGTTATTCTTTTATATTAATGCAAGATAAAGTTGGCCAAAGTTATTTAGATGTATTTAAGGTTGAACAAGTTGCCTGCTTGTTGTGTATTTAGCTTCTTGAAATGGCCCATGTATTTGAATAATTGTAAAATAAGCAACTGGAGACGAATTTTCTGATTCAAAACTTTACATGGTAGTAAATAATAGGTCTTTGTAAACATACGGTGGCAAAAAAAGATGCTCGATATGTCTCTTGGTCTTGCATGGTTGCATTCGATCACTGGAACATAAGTTTGATCCCAGCTCTGCAGCTATCCTTGGCCAGAAATCCTTGTGGGCACACTTGGCAGTGTTCTCATGAGTGGGAAAGATGGCTTAGTCCTTGCCTTCAGACATTTCTTGACAGTTTACAGGAACGCTAGCCAATCACAGTCTGTTAGGCTGTGTACCATGAGTTGGTCTGTGCTCTTCTCCATCCTATTTAAAAATCTGATATTTCACCCTATATGTCCTTAGATGGGGTGGCACTGTGGACTGCTGCCTCACAGCAAGAAGGGCCTGGGTTCGATTCCCGGCTGGGCAGCCAGGGTCCTTTCTGTGTGGAGTTTGCATGTTCTCCCAGTGTCTGCGTGGGTTTCCTCCGGGTGCTCCGGTTTCCTCCCACAGTCCAAAGACATGTGGTGTGGGTGTGTGTGAATGTGTATGTCTGTCTGTCTGCCCTGCGATTGACTGGCGACCTGTCTCGGGTGTTTCCTGCCTTCCACCCAGTGACTGTTGGGATAGGCTCACCCCCTGCAACCCAGAAGGATAAGCGGCTTAGAAAATGTGTGTGTGTCTTTATATGACAAAGATAGGTGTTTTTATATATATATATATATATATATATATATATATATATAATATTTATTTGTGCAGGAAAAAAACGATTCTTAGATGCATCGCAATGCGGACATGAACGATTCTGAATCGATTCACAAATGTCAAAAATCGATTTTCTAAATATGTAATTTATAACATAATGTTGACGGAACATAAAAGGCGGAACTTGGAAGTGGGTAAGTGCAGCGCCCGGACAGTCTGTGGCCGCACATAACAAAAACACACATGGATGAGCGAGAAATCCGACCAGCTCCCTCTGCATTAAAAGCCAGGTTAGATCAGGAGTCACAACCCAAATGTTAAGAAGAGCCATTTTGTCCTTTCAACAAATATCAGACCACCTTGGCAGCCACAACATTTATGTCCAGTATGTGCGAATGTCCTAGTGTAAGCTGGGTTGAAATATGAACGAAAACGCGGACTTACTCTACTCTGCTTTAAGCTTTAGCTGTAGCCGTTTTCCTCCCATCTCCGGCAGAAAACTTTTAGTTTCAGAAGTAGATCAGTTTCTCATAAAATATCTTTCAACGTACGACTGTTTGACGAGGCTGAAATCGCTTCTCATTCTCCAGCTTCTTGTTCGAATTTTCCCGTTCCACCTTAAATTCTGACTGAGGCGCCGAATGTAAATGCGGCACCATTTAAGGTGGAATGGGAAAATTCGAAAGAGAAGCGACTTCATCTTGGCAACTTTTGTGTTTGACAGTCTCTCGTTGCAGATTTAACTTACCAGGAATCAACTGCGCTGCTTATAAACGCGAATAACGTATCGTTGCTGTGTGAGCTGCACTCTGCACGGCAATTCTCAGTCGTTGCGAAACAGGGCTTTCGCGCTATGTTGCACACGCCCCGTCTCGAAGGTATTTAACTGACACAGCAGACCCCCCCTCTCGTCCCTACAACGAACGAGACCAAAACCGAACTTATAAAATCACTAAAGAAAACGGGTAGGACAGCTGTAACAAGTGCTGCGTGAACATCCATCACCGCTGGATCTTATTTCATCGTAACTGCGCATTTTATCACAGATGAGTGGCAGCAGCGTCTCATGTGCTCCAAACAAGAGCACTGAATGAGAGCCTTCCAGTTTACTTAACACATCACTTCCATTTGATTTATTAATAAAAGATATTGGAGGTAAATTCATTATGAATCATTACAAATACTTTGCTTTAAAAGTACTAAGTCCTGACACAGTGAGAAAATAGAAATCCTGTATAGAAAAAAAGATGCATCAAGATGCATCGATAATCGTTTTATAATCGCATCGCAGCCCTCTGAATCGTAATCAAATTGTGAGGTGCCTAGAGATTCCCACCCCTAATATATATATATATATATATATATATATATATATATATATATATATATATATATATATATATATATGTATGTGTGTGTATGTATATGTATATATATATATATATATATGTATGTGTGTGTGTGTGTATGTTGGAAGTAAACGTCTGTTGTTGGAAGAAAACGTCATATCTCCATTTTTGACGTTTTTCAGTTTTTGACATATTTTGAACCTGTTACCCGTTTACATTGTGTGTAAATTTCATGATAAATGGACCAAAAGAAACAGCCGAAAATGACTTGGAGAAAAGTCTGGTTCCATTGACGCACATTAAAAGTAAAGTAGGTTTTTTCCTTCTCCTGTAAAGTTATCATTTTGGAGATACAAAGTTTTCTTCTGACAACAGCAATATGTACGTTATATGTTAATTACTTGCTTACATGACTGTGTGTCATGCTCATGATACGGATAAGAGTAAATAGTACATTTTGCCTCAGGTCAAATGACGGTAACCTTTTAATTATAGATTTAGTGGAAGGAAAAACCTCTCAGTCTGATTGATATATAGAGATGTTCAAATGTTTGGAAACAGAGTTTGATATGAACGATTCCCGAGAGCTGGTAAAATACTGATTCAGACCAAGGCATTGAAAATCACTGATCGGGCAAGCTGACGTTCAGACATAGGGCTTTTTTGACAGTGAACAGCTATACTGTAATGAATTACCTTCATTCACTTATATACAAACCCTCCTCACTGTGGAAGAAATGGTCTAATCCAGCTGTGTGTGTGGAGTTAAATCTAGACCTCTCACTCAGTAGTTCTAATAGTAAGACAGCAGTTCTAATAATTGTACAGAAGACACACACATGCCCACTCTGTCAGTCTGTCTCTTGCTCTCTCTCTGTTACTTTTAATAATAGTAAAACGATGACAGCATCTTTAAAAAACGTGCAAAGATAACTACTGATTTGATTGTTTTTGCACACTAAGTGGAAGACGAAGTAGTAGTAGTAGTAGTAGTAGTATAGCTTTTTGAAAAAATAAAATAGGTTTATTTATATTTGGAAAAAATAAAATGGGCCAGTATGAACTTGTTCAGGACATTAAATTTGAGGGGGTAAAACATACGTTGAACAATGAGACGTCTGCTTATCCATTTCTCCTGAAATCAATGGCATTAACAGGGAGTTTGCCTGCCCCCCAACCCCTTTGCTGCAGTACCAGCCTCTGCTCTTCTGGGAAGACTTTACGCTAGATGTTTGAAAATTACTGTGACGATTTGATTGCATTACTGAGGTCAGATACCGGTGTTGGATGATTAGCTCTAGATAACAAACCCTACTCCAAATCATCCCAAAAGTATCGGATGGCACAGCGCTGGGCAGAGACATTATACTCCTCTAGCTGGCACTTGGCATTAGGCATGGTGATCTTAGGCTTTTGTGTTGATACTCCAGAGTGTCCCAATCTATTTTCAGTGCTTTTCTATTAAGATTATTAAGACAAGTGCAGTTGAAAATCTGTATCAGCAGTGGGTGTACATTACATTAGCTGAATGGACTAATTAGAAGGGGTGTATACTTTTGGATATATAGTAATGTATTATGTAAGGTAGACAGCAGAAGAGAGTTGGCAGTGATCATTTGGGAGGAAATTGGGTGGCAGTTAAAAAAATGCCCTCAACCTTCATGTTTTCTGTCTATAATAATTCATCAGACCATGCTGAACTTTGGAAGTTGAGAAGGATGAGGGGCCCTTTGGTCCCTGTAGCTACTTTAATTTACCTAGCCTGTGGTGTAATTAGTTGTAACTGCTTTCATTTACCTGCTCATTGGTGTAATTTGTCTTCTCCTTGGTCAACAGTTTCACATTTTACCCTAATATGTACATTACTTCTGTTGCCATGCTTGATACAAGACCAGCTAATGACTTGCTATCTTCTCTTTTGAACAGCAAGAGATTAGGATTACGCAGGTGGGCAGGATAAAGTGAGCAGTGTATTTCACCATCTGTGAATGTTTAGTCTTAACATTAAAGGCTGTAAAGAAAATAAGAGCTTGAAAGTAAAATTTTCTGTACTACCCACGCTAAATGTGTTACACTCACACAGAGATGCGAGCACATATTTAGTTTAAACACCCATACACTCCCGCACACACCCTCTGGGATGATTGTCATACACACAGCAGGAGATTTTAAAGCAACACAACATGCAATTTAGTCATTACTTTATGACTGACAGATTGAAGTAACAGGGGATCTGAAAAATGATTGCCTGACTGTTTTTGTTTTGATTTTCATGTAGGGACAGAGAGAGAGAGAGAGATTCTGTAATTACAGAATTCATGTCATGGCAGCTTCTGTTTCAGACCTTACTAGTAGCTCTACCTGTTGTATGGAATTAGAAGCTTTGTGTTTTTATGCTTAATGACTGTATTTTGTAGACATATCTTGCAGTGTGTGTCATGTATGTAAACACAATTTTACAGTGCCTACATTATGATGCAACATGATATTTTGCTATGAACAATTGAATGTATTGGCCATCTTACTCACTGTATATGCTTCATCATGTCTTATTATGGGAAAGACTCTAGTCATATCCAGGCAGTATAAGTTTGGGTGGAATCTGCTGTAAATCAAGCCTACGTTTCTCGATTCTCCTGCTGCCTTCTGTTTTGCTCCATCATGTGCTGTTTTTCTGTTTATCGCTGCTTAATTCCACTAGCTGTTTTCTCTGTTCGATTTGGCAGGCAGGACTTGCAGTAATTGGTCATTAAGTAGAGCTC